TAGTTTGAACTAAAAATATTCTCTCTCTCACACACACACACAAACATAAAAATGTGTTTTTTAAGAAGAAAGTGAACATCTAAAACCATACATTTGTTTGTTTATCTTTCTTCTGTCCTTCCCTTTTTTCTTTCTTTCTTCCCCCATTCCTTCATTCCTCTCTCTCTCTCTCTCTCTCTCTCTCTCTCTCTCTCTCTCTCTCATAGGACCTTATAATACAGCCCACACCATTCTCACACTCATGATCCTCTGACCTTGGCATCCCGAGTGCTGGTAAACTGTTCTGACATACGCAATGGCTACTTCTCACCAGCTAAGCGCTAAAACTTTTAGATATAGCCAAGCAGACTAAAACAACAGGTTACAGGTGAAAACTCCAGAAATGGACAGGAAACTCCCTCATTCGACCTCATTCGGGATGTATTTGTATACGCCATAATATGGGTAAAATGTTTCAAGGGCCAGTCATCCAAGTATTCAAACTAAAGTCACAGAAGTTACGTGACTCTTCAAGGTAACAATTTGGAAAGAGCGTGTTGCTTTCTCTGTATCCCAATGCCATTACCTTTCCTTAAAAGCAGTATCTACAATGCCCTGGGCCCAGTCCCCAATATCTTCCCCTAAAACACCTGGCTTAAGTTTTCATTGTTGCGCTAAAAATCCACAGCCAAAAACAGCTTGAAAGGAAAGAGTGTTTCAGCTCACAAGGCTCAGGTCACACTCCATCATTGAGGGAAGTCAGGGCAAAAATTCGAGGAAGGAGCCTGAAGGCTAGAAATGAAGCAGAAGCCATGGAGGAGTGCCGCTTGCTATCCTGTCCAGTCGGCTTTCCTATGCCATCGCCCACAGTAGGCTGGACCCTTCTCTATCAAACATCATCAAGAAAAATCATCCACAGACCTGCCTATGGGCCAACCTAACGAGGCATTTTCTCAGTTGAGATTCCCTCTCCCCAGATAACTTTATCTTCTGTGAAGTTTTCAAAAGCTAACTGGACTGGAGAGATGGCTCAGCGGGTAGGAGCAGTGGCTGCTTTTCCAGAAGTCCTTAGTTCAACACCCAGCAACCCCATGGTGGCTCACAACCATCTATAAAGAGATCTGGTGTCCTCTTCTGGCATAAAGTCATACATGCACATAGAGCACTCATAAAAAGAAGAAGAAAATGAATTTTAAAAACTAGCAAAGACAATACCCATAGTTTAAAGCTAAATGTCATATGTGATTATTTTCCAAACTATGTATAAAGTTAACTACTGAAGACTGTATGCCTTAAAATTAAAACAGGGTGTATTTGTTGGTTTCTTTGTTCCTGGCCAACAAGGGGTAACTTGGTGGAGGAAGAATTTGGGTCAGTCCTAGGGGGATACAGCTCATCATAGCAAGGGAGTCACGGCAGAGCATACTGCAGCTGTTCACACAATATCTGCATCAGGAAGCAGCAAGTGATGAAGACTGTGAACATCAGCTCCCCTCTCCTTTTCCTGCAGCCAGTAAAATGGTATCGTGTATGTTTAGCGTGGATTTTTCCATCTCAATCAATCTAATATAGATAACCCCTCAAAGGTGTGCCCAGAAGTGTGTCTTGTCAACAATTCTAGCTCCTGTCAAGTTGACAGTTGAGATTAGCCATCCTATAGGGCAACAGTAGTTTACACATAAACCCCACCGCTCTATTTTCTGCTCTCTCTTTTTTTTAAATTAAAATTTGAAAAGTATTTCCAATTGCAGTGTGCACCCTGTCTGTTTGTAGTGAACACGAGAGTTTGGAACAGTTATAATCAGAATCACAAGCGGATTTGCTCTTAAAAGAGTGGCAAATCCCTGCAATCAATGCAGCATGGCTGTTGGAAACCAAGTATGAAGAAGACAAGAGGAAGACGCCCCCACACCCTGTTGTTTTCTCTCCCAATACACCTTATGCAATGGACAATTGTCCTTATATAGAAGAAACTTCTACTAGAAGAGCGTATGTTTTCTGTAATTTGTAACAATATTTGAAGTTATTCATTTGTTTGTATGTATGCAAAGAAAGATACATTGAATAGATGTCATCTATTGACAGCAACTGGTCATTTTACCTATATTTTAAAAATTAATTTTCTAGTTACCATACAAAATAATGTGGGTTTATTTTTAGTTACTATGCATGATAATGGGATTCAGTATGGCATTTTCATACATAAATGTCATTTATATTGTTCTTATTCATCCCTCTTCCCACCTCCACCCATCCTACTCGTCTCTTGCTGGGCCCCTCCTCCCTCAAATAGCAGCCCCTCCCACTGCCTTCTGCTATGAGGTCACAGGCATTCCATTACTCTGCTCCTTCCTTCCTCTTCTCTCCACTAAAATATTTTCCTCTTCTCTCTTATTTATTTATGAAATATATACACACACACATACACACACACAAGGAAAGACACACACACACACACACACAGAGAGAGAGAGAGAGAGAGAGAGAGAGAGAGAGAGAGAGAGAGAGAGAGAGGTTTTAATCTAGACTCTGTCAGAGAAAGCATGTGGTGTCTGTCTTTGAGTCTGGCTTATCTCTGGCTTTTTGGTTGTCTTTTGAGACAGGGTCTCTCTACACAGTTCTGAATGATCTCATGCTCACTACAGAGACCAGGCTGACCTTGAATTCACAAAGATTCCCCTGCCTGTGCCTTCCGAGTTCTGGGAAGAAAGGCATGCATCACCACACCTGCCTGAGTCTTGCTTATTTCATTTAACATAATGCTCACCAATTTCCCTTAAAATTTCATAATTTTATTTTTGTTTATGGCTGAATTAAATTCTGTTGTGTGTAGTGTCATATTTATTCATCCATTTATCTATTGGTGGACATCCAGGCAGGCTCCATTTTCTGGCTATTTGTGAACAATTCAGCAATAAAAATGGACATTCAAGTAGCTCTGTTACATGTTTGTTTAGAGGCCTTCAAGTATGCACTCCACAGTGGTATTGTTGATCTTGGTTGTCAACTTGACCAGATCTGGAATCAATGAAAAGATCAGCTGACCACAACTCTGCTCCAGTGAGGCTCTTTCTTGGTCAGGTTACTTGAAGTGGAAAGACCTACGGTATATGTGGGCAGCGCCTTCTGGTGACAGCCCAGACAAAAGAAGATGTAAGAAGAAAACATTTGCCTGTTTGCTTTTGCTCTTGCATGCAAGTCCATCTACTCTGTCGCTGCTGCTACTACATTCCTTTGCTGATATCCTAACCCAACTCCATCAGGCTTGTTATATGGACTGAAGACCGGCAGCTGTCCAGGAATCCCCAGGCCTTGAAGACTCCATTGATACGTCTGAGACACCTGGTCTTGTGGATCAAACCGCTACTGGTATGAGGCAGCTGTCCTTGAACTGCTCAGACCATATCCTGTAAGCCAGTGTAAGTAATACCATCTTCATCCTATCAGCCTGTTTTTCTAAAGAACCCTACCTACAACGCTGGGTCCTATGGTCATTCTCTAGTGTCAGTTTCTCTAGTTACATTCATATTGATTTCCATAGTGGCTGCACCAGTTTGCATGGCCACCATCAGTGTACAAAGCATCCTCTACATCCTCGTAAGCATCTGTTGATTTTTGTTTTCTTAATGATTCTGAAATAGAATATCAAAGTGTGTTTAGTTTGCGTTTCCCTGACAGAGAAGAATATTGAATACTTTTTCAAATACTCCTTGGCCACTCGTATGTGATGTTTTGAGAACTGCCTATTCATTAGTCTGTTTCTTTACTGTATAATTAGATATTTTGATATTTAATTTCTACATCTCTGCTAACTTCCTTATGGTGTACAGATAGCAAATATTCTTTTCTCATTCCATAGACTGACTCTTTACTCTTTTGATTTTTTAGCTGTTTTTTTTCTATTTATGTACTTTTTAATTCATTGACAGATTCATGCAATGACTTAAGGAGTTTTATTCCTGTTCACTCCCTATGACTCTCTTATTCTCCTCCCACTGAAACCCCCCTCTTCCCAAGTCCTCTCTTACTTACATGTCCTTTGTGTGTGTGACCGACTGAGTGTAAACGTGTTACTTGCATGAGCATGGATGGGAGGCGATTTACTAGAGTAAGGGCAACTTCTCAGTGGCTACACTTCTAAAGAAAGAAAGAAAGAAAGAAAGAAAGAAAGAAAGAAAGAAAGAAAGAAAGAAAGAAAGAAAGAAAGAAAGAAAGAAAGAAAGAAAGAAAGAAAGAAAGAAAGAAAGGAAGGAAGTCCTTTCTCTAGACATTAGCTGCTGCCCCTAAGAAAGGGATTGTACCTCATGAGCCCGTCCTCCTTTCATGGTAGAATGTTGATGGACTCAGCCTCATATAAGTCTTGCACAAGTCACCTCAGCTGCAGTGAGTTTATGGGTGCATCAGCCATGTCTTGTCTAGAAGACACATTTTTGCAGCAGCCCCCCCCCCC